GCAATGTTTCTACAAAAACGAAAAACGCGTTCAAAATAATAGATGTTTTGAATTGTTATGATTAGTGAAGAAAACAATAATAAAATAAGATTTAGTTTTTGAACGAATCGATGAATATATGAGTGAATTGACCGCAAATCACATCCCTTTGAACCGCAACTCAATCACAACCGCGAGTGACAGACAATTAGTGGCCAACGATGTCGAGGGCAGCCGTGGTCTCCGGCCAGCCATCCAACGGGTCGGCCATCACTGGTCTCGGCGTGTGTCTCATCTGCGATCGCGAATGTCTTTTAGGCCAATACGTGGTCTACAGTCGGCCCACAATCGGCGCCAATCAGACGCCTTTCTTCCCGATCCTCGAGTCACTCCACGGCACCAACTCTTCGGCACAAATCAATTGCTGTCGTCTTTGTTGTCAATCATTGATCAGTCAGTGGAATGACTTCGAGTCCAAACAGATTCCCATCAAAAATCGTGTCTATTATCTCAATAATACCACTAAACCGGTGGTCATCTCCAAGACTGAGGCCAACCATTCGCTTCACACTAATCACCACAAGAAGCACGAAAAGCATGGAAATCACAACAACAGCAACAATAGCTCCAACGCCAGCGCCGAAGAGGTTCTGGATCTCAGCCTTACGTCCACTTCAGCCCCAAATCTCGCTCCTTATTCAAGACCTAATATCAGAGGCGAAAGTAACGGAACCGTTAAACACATGTCTAATCGTTATCCACATGTCTGTTATATCTGCGGAGAAGACTGTCATTCAGTGGTCAATGTATTGGTTCGGCCGACGGCTAACTGTCCGTACTTTCCATCACTTCTATCACATCCCAAGCCTAACGGCGCGAATCCAATTGATTCCAGTGGAAGAATAGACTCGTGCGACTTATGCCACCGATTTTTGTTACAACAATGGGATCACTTCCAGAGACTTAATGTCCCGATCGTTGACAGACATTACAGTCTTCGTAATGTCTCGACCAATGAGTCCCGAAGTCGAGGGAACCGGTATTCGTGTGCGTTATGTAACACAGAGTTATCACAATCGCTGCATAATGTTGTCATTTCTATTCTTACCGTCAGTGACTCGACTTCTGAGCTCAAGAAACTGGTCCTATCTTCTGCTCAGGAGTTTATTATTGGATCCGGAATTCCTCTGGATTTGGGAAAAGTGCTCACATGTATTGGATGTTTCAGAGAACTTATTAAAAATGGCGATCCATTGCCGCCACTAATACAGACATCGGCTCAAGTATTGGACACAAAAAGAAAATATTTGACCGAATCTTTAAATAATAGCATTTCTGACCAACAATTGTGTCCACTTTGTAATAAAGTGCGGAATCAAATAATTGCCGTTCAAAGCACTCCATCCACTGATAGAAAGCCATTCTTTCCGTTCCTCAAAGATGTCGTTAAACCACAAGAAGTGGATTCGTTGGGAAGAATCAGAGTCTGCAACATATGTGTGGCATCGTTGGAGTCTCAATGGGATGCCTTTGAATCGGCACTCATTCCTCATTCACAACGAGATTATCTTCTAGCGTCCCGTCGATCACCATTTGATCGCTCCTTATCTCCGCCTCCGTTGAAAATTCAAGTCTCTTCGCCGCCACCTCTTCAGCAATCATTCATTTGTGAGCCATTGTTGACGACAGTTACGACTCCCACACATAATACATACTCAATGACCAGTTCTTCCAAACATTATATCACTAAAAATGAATCCAAAATCACGGGACCAATGGATGAGATGTTGTCAGCACTCGGAGGACCACTGCTTAAGGCAGCGAATTGTATGATTTGTAGTGAATATTCGTCTGCCGGACACACTTACCAATTGTATGCAACGCCAAGAAATCCGCCGATTATTAGCCACGAGTTAGGCATTTATCCATTCTTTCCTTTTTTGAAAAAACACATTGCAATCAACACTTCCAGTAATAATGATGATAGAGATAGGGATCTTGAGAGCAGGTCTAACAGCGCTCTGGTCTGTACTTTCTGTTATCATTCATTAATTGGTCAATGGATTGCATACAACGCGTCGCCGTTTATCGAAGACAAAGACCCGATGCGAAGAACATATAACTATAGAGATTACATATGTTTTATATGCGGTGTCACTACTTTCAGACAGAGGAGCCGATCTATATCTCTCAAAGACTTTCCATTCCTGTTGGAACACTCGAGACCCTCAGGTATATCATTGACACAATTACACCACTAATAAAATACACTACATTTTATATTAAAAGTACTTATAATTTGTTAATCTTTAGGTGCCTTAACATTGACTGATGGCGAGAATGTGGTCACGTGTTTGACTTGTTTCGATTCGTTAACACTTCAGTGGAAAGATTACGAGCGGATGAAAGTGCCGATTGAGATGAGAAAATACAATTGGATTACTGTTGCGCCGCCCAATAGGGATATCAATGAATATCCCATGCCTTTAGTTCACAATGTAATTATCAAATTACTTAGAATTGCATTATAATGTTACACAGTATTGTTATTTCATAAAATTGTTTTCACACAGCATTTAAGTGAAACACTTTCGCCCACATCTGGAGTAACAGCGCTTTCACCTCATGGGGCTGTAGTGCCTATGATTGCAATGTCTAGCAATGCAGAAGACTATCATAACTTGATATCGAGCAGTAATTTAGCCAAAACGAGAACGTCTACGTTTGCGGCAGCGCTTAGAAAACTAGCTAAACAGACATCAGATTCTTTGATTGCAACCGATTCTGGATCTGCACCAACTATCATAACTTGATATCGAGCAGTAATTTAGCCAAAACGAGAACGTCTACGTTTGCGGCAGCGCTTAGAAAACTAGCTAAACAGACATCAGATTCTTTGATTGCAACCGATTCTGGATCTGCACCGCATTCCATACCCTATGGTCTCTCTGTCGCTCATTCCTCGAACTTAAGTAAAAATTCCAACAATTCTTCGTTTCAAAGTCCATATCAAAGCTCAGCTATACGTCAGTCACCGCCTATTGTGACGATCGCACCGATTCCGGCGCATCAGATCGATAGGAGTGAAAGTGATAATCAATTAAGAAATCATTTGAGAAAAAGTGATAATCAATTCTATTATGAGCACAGAATACATACCGATCCCAAAGAGTCTCTTATATACTCTCATTCCCAGCGAACGTCACCTATAGTTCAAGTTCGGTGAGTCTGTCAACCATTATAGACAGCCTGTTGTCCACAACTCTAACAATTTGTATCACTCGTAGGCCATCCCCTTCTCACGTCCATAACGATAGTCTTAATTCAGTTGGCATTCACTCAACACAACAAAATAATGTCACGAATCGTATGCCTGGGTTTCAGCCCTACAGAAGTGGATTAGAAGATAGTTTGCGAAATAATTCTTCAACATCTTTGGCATCAGCACCACTGCCATCACATTTACTGCCTTATGATGCGATGGCTTTTCCTTATCACCCATTCCTGCCTCACACTAATCCTAATCCACTGCCACATCACGCGCCACATCCAAGTGCTTCGTATCGGTTTGTATTACATTAATTAACTTTTGATCAAAACTAATTAGTATTTTGTTTGATAGTATGGGTGATCCCTATTATATGGATCGTTTTGGTCTACTTAGAGGCCAATTACACGTACCGTCAGCTCCACTACCAATGGCCGGAAGCGGCACAACATCTTCAGTGCCTTTCAATTTAGTCCGTTATTCAGAACTCTTGAACTCACAAACGGAAAGACTTATTAACGATGAAAGACAACGACTGTTGAATCAAACACTCTCTCAAAGTGCACAGACTTCTTACAAACCCAATACACAGACCATTGATAGTCCACCCATTCATATGACAAATAATAATGAAAAGTATGGCAACAATAGTGAGCACTTCATAATGAATCACTCCATGAAAAACCACTCCACTTCGGGATCAATACTTTCCGGAACTCCGAGAGATGTGACCCCTCTGTCGGGTTCTGTTGGAAATGGTATTCGCAAACCTAACGGTCCAAACATGTCAACCAATAGACCGTTAAATCTTTCGTCAGACAACGAACAGCACATTTTGGAACAGAAGTATTTATGGCGACCGCAAAGTGATGGCCAAACAGATCATAACTCTTTCAATCCAAGCAATCGACTCATGGAATTGAATATTCATCTCCAAAACAAAGACAGTGTTTTGGCTGAAGATGTAATTCATAACAAAAATTATCGTATAAATAATTTTCACTCAAATTCTGACAGAAGTATTGATAAATTGATAATAACTGCTGACAAACAATCGTCTGAAAGGAATAACACGGAAGGCCTTCACTCAAGAATTTTGGAGAATTCAGAGAAAAACAATTCCAATCAATCGGTACATCAGTCGACACAAGAAGTTGTTTCTAATAAAAAATCTGACAATTGTTCCATAAATGAAAGTGAAGTGAGAGTTGTTTCTAAACTAGATTTGGAAGAATTAAAATTGAAACACAAACGAGAGATTAAGTTCTTTGAAAACGGATTTAGTAGTGATTCAGATGGAGAGAGCGAAGACAGTGATGACAGTGAAGACAATCGTTTTAAATATAATATAATTCTTACCAAACGATTGCCTTTAGAATTGGATACAAATGAAGAGAAAATGCAATTTTTGGGAGTATTTAATCTCATGTAACATTATAATGCAATTCTAAGTAATTTGATAATTACATTGTGAACTAAAGGCATGGGATATTCATTGATATCCCTATTGGGCGGCGCAACAGTAATCCAATTGTATTTTCTCATCTCAATCGGTACTTTCATCCGCTCGTAATCTTTCCACTGAAGTGTTAACGAATCAAAACAAGTCAAACACGTGACCACATTCTCGCCATCAGTCAATGTTAAGGCACCTAAAGATTAACAAATTATAAGTAATTTTGATATAAAATGTAATGTATTTTATTAGTGGTGTAATTGTGTGAATGATATACCTGAAGGTCTCGAGTGTTCCAACAGGAATGGAAAGTCTTTGAGAGAAATGGATCGGCTTCTCTGTCTGAAAGTAGTGACACCGCATATAAAACATATGTAATCTCTATAGTTATATGTTCTTCGCATCGGATCTTTGTCTTCGATAAACGGCGACGCGTTGTATGCAATCCATTGACCAATTAATGAATGATAACAGAAAGTGCAGACCAGAGCGCTGTTAGACCTGCTCTCAAGATCCCTATCTCTATCATCATTATTACTGGAAGTGTTGATTGCAATGTGTTTTTTCAAAAAAGGAAAGAATGGATAAATGCCTAACTCGTGGCTAA